GGAGATGGCTGTCCCAAAGAATAGACTGCTATAGGTGGAACAGGTGGATATAGGTCAATATGTTGGTTTTTGTGACATCACAAAAACAATGAATTGAAAATAGGCTGCCTTTAATTTCTATATCGTGACTGCGCAGACTGGGTAGTGAAGTGCATTTTGAAAATTTAGCAGTGTTACCATACTAAAACTCAGTTTTCTATAATATGGGCCCTTTCTTTCATCTAAAAAACGTAAGAAGGCGTCCATCTCTGTGTTTTACTGACCAGTTAAAGACTTTGCAAATGAGATATCAGTGCTGTTTTAACTGCAGTGATACAGCATTAGTGATTTTATATCTACCTCGCTCACAGCAGATTACTTCAGCACAGTTTGGATTTGCTTTACAGCATTTGTTGCTTGTCACATCATGATGGATCTGGTGTTTAATCTAAGAGGTCTGTTATTGCCTCATATTATATAACACTGGGTTTTAATAGCATGTGTAAGTAAGCAGCCGCTTGTTTCAGTGCTGGCAACAAGCACAGCGTAGTGCTTCCTGGATTTATGAAGTGGCAGAGTTATTGAATTGACAGAGGGAGCCAACAAACTTTAATCAATCCAATAAATTGCAGGGTAATGCAATACACAGGACACACAGCATTCACAGACGACAACAAAGAAAGAGAGATGATCCAGCGCTCAGAATGAATGACTTTGTTAGCTGTCATTAGAGAGCAGCTATCACGAGAGAATGATGACATCGGCATCGCACTTCCTTATGTAAGGACTTAGGATTAGTATGTTGACAGACACAGTGCAGTAACTAATAGGTAATAAAACAAGAGAAGACTGGAGGTCTAAACAGTCTAAATGAACACAGCTTTATTGTTCAGCAGAAATGTAAATCAAAGGTACTTTTACTTGAGCATTTAAATAAGGCTACTTGAGTGTAGGAGTGAATGATATGGCAAAAATACATACTGTTATAATACTTTCACAATACACGATACATATCACTGTTTCTTTTCTGAGCTTTGACATGATGGCACAGGCAAGTTGTATCACTTAGGAATCCTTACGATTTTTGTTATTTTCATTTGTTTTTTGGAGATCTTTTGATATGTATGCCATTATTACGACACTATGAATGCTGTTTTCTATTATCTATTATCTATTATCATGACATAATGGACATTGGTTTATTGAGATAGCATTTGTTATATCGTGATATTGGCATTAATATCTTGAAAATGTAAGAAAACAACATTCACAACATTGTGTTATGATGATATAAATAACTCAAGATCTCAAGAAATAATTGAAAATAACTCATTAAGGAAAAACAGTAAAAATAAGACATGCAATCTATGGCTCTTTAGGGCTTTAATACAAAGACCACTGAGGTTGTGCGTCATATTGTAGCCAACGTTATGACCATTTTAGGAACGTTGGGTCACTAGGAACTCATAATCGCCACTGTCATGCCATGTGGTAAACAAAGTTGTTTAGCAGTCAGATGAATAAGTCATACATATTACTAGCAAACTAACACTGCTGCACATTGAGAAGACCTTAGTCTACTATTAAACTTCAACACTATAATATACCAACACCAGCTGTTCAAACTGTAGGCTACTACTGCCACAGCAACTTCACAAGCACATTTGACAAGGCCTGCTGGTTTGTGTGGGGTGTTTTCTTGAGGTTGTGTGTGCAGCAGTGTTAGCTTGCATGTAGCAATGTTTATATTTTGACTCCTTAATGACCTCATAATTCAGAGGATCCAGCGACAATCATGTAAAAATGTCCATACGGCAAAGTGGATCAGCTTTTGAACCTTTTTGCAATAGCAATTTTCAAAAATGCCATTTATTTATCTCATAAAGAAAACCAGCTTACACCTAGACTTTTTAATATGAGCATGATGTCGACTACAGAATGATGTTGCAACTTTAGAAGCCTGTTGTTTTACCATCGTGAACACTTTATTATCCAAGCTAGAAGTTTATTATCGTAGCTAGAAATGTCCACAAGAGCACATTTAAGTGATGACTGGTACTAGTAGGTAAGAGAATATTATGATGAAATAATCTGTAAAAAATCAAAAGGATAATGAAAGAGCCTCTTACCTGCCGCATCTGTTTGATAGACTTCCATGTTCACACCTTTACATGTTCAGAGAGAATTAAATGTAGTGTCATTCACTTTTTCAAAGATAGCATTTGGGATTTTGTTAGATTGGTGTGAATTCTTAAGGACATAAGATGTCTGAGACTGAGTCATGATTTGAACAGGTGCTGAGCCCCTGCTGAAAGGATAAGACTAGTTCTCAGAGCTGCCGACTTTCATTAAAACAAGAACATCTCTAATAGGAAGGTACAGCTGGCAGATACAGTGAGAGAATGAGCTCCTCTTGGTCTTAAAGATCAGCATGATCGCAGGGTCCCATATTAACTTCTTATTCCTAGACAAGCTATTTCTGCATTTTAATCTACTCTTCTCTGTAATAACGTGATTATCTTGTCTCATTTTCTCTGAAATGTAAAGAACACAGTGTAACAAAGATGAAAATTTGTAGGTTTTCTATTTCGCAAATGTAAATAATCATCTTTTATTGTTTTTATAAGCATTTATTTGAATTGTGTTCTGAATTTGTGCACTCACTTGCTCAGAAATCACACTGCATCCTATGATAAACAGCACTGTGCTTCTTTTAAACAATGAGCAGATAGAGTTAGTATCTGTATCGGTACTCTGTGGTGGTATCAGTGCATCCCTAGTCTCTGAACATATCACTGGCATGCTGTTAGGTTTGATAAGGTAAACCTTTGACATTGTACTTTATACCACTGAAGGAAGTTTGAAGTGATTTTTTAATCTTGCACTGAAAAGATGACCCAAATGCAAAAGTGCATTTCTGAATAGAAAAGTTGAGAATGCCCTTGTATGCATGTGGACCAGAGAGGTACAATTGGATCTGCGTATTTTGACCACTAAATCTACTTATGCTGTGTAAACTCCACTCAGCACTGCGAGTCAAGGTGAAGGAGGAGAAATGAGTTTGGCGTGAGTGGATATCACATTATCTTTGAAGACCCGGTTATGTCACCTGCTGAAATCAGACATCATTAGACTGAGTGCGAGTGTCTGCTTCTGCATTAGCCTGACGGCACAGCATTCGTCCTTCAAGGGACAGGACAGTCAGGGCCTGAGTTTTGCGTGTAGTCAGACTCTCTGTAGCTGCAATCAAACAGCTTTTCAGTTTGTGACCCATCTGCAAAACCTAGGACTCCTCAGAAAGCCTACATACCCTCATATGAAGATCATATCAGAAAGACTTTACTGTAGGGCAGCATTCACAAAACGCAAACCTTACATCAATCATGACATCTGACATAAACCTACATTAACTTTTATAAAGGCATATTCCAATAGGTGTCTGTCATAAAGGCTGCTTTTGTCAACTGTAGTGTCAAGTTGACATAACATCTATATCAAGAGGCCATTTTTTCTGACATGCATAAAATGACACCATAACAACTGACTTTGTAGCGTAACGCATATCACAGTGCAATAATGCAGATGATGTGACATTATCTGCGTTTTGTAAGCATCATGATGCAACCTAATATCAGAAAAAATTCTGACAGATATTAACTTAACATCAAAGTTGGCAAATGCAACCTTTACAACAAAAGACGTCTACTGGAATAAGTGTTTAGGTCTATGTGTGTAGTCATGAAGGGTTTGTGTGTCAGGTAGCCTTATGAACACTGCCCTGCAATAAATCATACCTATGTCTATAAAGTCGTCTTTGAACCTATCCTCTGTCTGCCACAGCTGTGTTAGAACTGAAATATTTGTCAGAACCTGAAGAGACCTGACTATTCATTTCTGGGTTTGATCAGTTTCAGACAGGACATAATTTCTGATATATTTGACATATTTGGGTGAGGCTCATATTTCACATATGGGTTTCTTTTAGCCCATCTCCCACATTTAAAGGGTAATTCCACAAAGTCTTTGTATATCTAAATTATAAAGATGCTGACAAATCATTCAGAGTGGTTTGATGTGAAATGGTCTGTTCCTGAGTCAGAATTGTTCATAGAGGTGGTGATAGGAACCAGACATCTGAAGAGTTTAATGCCTCTAAAATCTTTATTATTGTTATCAAACAAAATGATTACGAATACGATGCCTAATGCCTGAGACACTGTATTACAATAGTTTTGAGAGAAGAATTTGGTCTAAAATATATTTTTAAAAAGCATTTATGGTGGAGAGGAACATGCAGGGTGTGGTAGGGCAAAACATGTATTTTCAAATTTACCACTGTTTCACAGTTAACAGCGTTACATATAAAAACTCAGATGACATGTTGGTTCACTGGTCATGTTGTAAATGGTAAATAAAATGATAGTAAATAAAATAACTATATTTGCGGTGTAGACATTGCAACCCCTCATTCCTATCATCACCACTGTAAAGAAATCAGAGTTGGTAAGTTTCTCTACAGTGAGCCATTTCACTTCAATCTACTCTGAATGACTTTTTACATTTCAGTGACTAAACTGTTTTTAAAACTAAGTGGAATTCTCGGAAGTTCTGCATTCATCCCTGCTTTGTTTTTTTCTCTAATTTATCCTTTCTCCTTACTGTTTTTGACTATTTTGACTACTTACATTTTTTAATTTTTTTTTTTAATGATCGTTGATCGATGATCAGTTGTCATCATCACTATGTTTTGAAAATTTGCTGCCTCTGGACTTGGACAGAAAGTTCTCTGGCTACTTTCAGTTGGACCAAAATGTCTGGCATGATTAAAGCTCTAATCGACATCACACAGCTATAAAAGTTTGACTTTTTTCCCTATAAAGTACAGAAACAACTCAAAACACATGTTTGATTGATGCCAATGTGAAGCATGTTATGAATCAATTAAAAATGGTGGAGTCTTCTTTTACCTCAGCTGCAAATCTTAATGACCACTGTTCTCTCTCTCTTTTACCCCCTTTCAGGAACTCTTTACGGCAGAATGCAAGTTCAAAGAGTCAGTATTTGAGAACTACTACGTGATCTACTCGTCCATGTTGTACAGACAGCAGGAGTCAGGGAGAGCCTGGTTTCTGGGCCTCAATAAAGAGGGCCAGGCCATGAAGGGCAACCGTGTGAAGAAAACCAAACCAGCTGCTCACTTCCTGCCCAAGCCATTAGAAGGTAATGGCTGCTCTGGGTCCTCTGCTGAACTCAGGGGAGGACTTGCTTCCAGTTCACTCATACACTGCGGAATCATAATGAGGCGCATTAGCTCAGAGGAGGCGATACTTTTACTTAATGTGCTTTAAACAGTGGAGATGTTTTCAGCAGATGAGGCAAAGCTCAGGTAGTTTGGATTTGTCTCAGGTGTTGTTTCATCTGCAGTTTTATAGAAGGGTTTTTGGGTTATTATGATAAATTGATTACCAGCAGCAGATAAAATTTACCAGCAGTGATTAGCTGGCAGTTTGCATGATAATGATGAATATCATTGCTGTCCAAAAAAACAAGTATCTTAATTTTTATTTCTTGTTGAACTTTTTGGCATCATTTGAGCACATCAGCTGCCCTTGAAGAATAAAGTTACTTTACATTAACTTACAATAAAAGTTAAGAGTATTTTTGCCTTCTGTAAAGTTGCCATTTTGTGCAAAGGCTTGGATTTTTGGACAGCGATTATATATATATATATACATTTTACGTTAATGACTGTATACATTGAACAAAAAAAAACAAACAAATTGTTCTTTACAGTTATTACTATGGCAATTACTCACTAGCTAAAATTTCTTATTCGTGACAGGCCTATGAAGGACTGATTTAATTAGGAAAACTACTGTAAGGCAAATCTCATCCTTACCTATGTTTCAACGAGAAAAATCAACTAAGCACAATTTCACCAGGAGGTACACTCAAACACTGATCAACCATAACGTTAAAACCACCTCCTTGTTTCTACATTCATTGTGCATTTTATCGGCTCCACTTACCATATGCTACAGTTACAGACTGTAGTCCATCTGTTTCTCTGCATACTTTGTTAGTCCCCTTTTACCCTGTTCTTCAGTGGTCAGGAACCCCTCAGGACCACCTCAGAGCAGGTATTATTTATCATTCTCAGCACTGCAGTAACACTGAGGTCGTGGTGGTGTGTTAGTGTGTGTTGTGCTGGTATGAATGGATCAGACACGGCAGTGCTGCTGGAGCTTTTAAACACTGTCCACTCACTGTCCACTCTGTTAGACACACCAATTTTGTTGGTACACTTGGAATTGTAGAACTACAAAGTGCACCTGGTAGGTGGTAAGAGGAGCTGATAAAATGGACAGTGAGAAACAATGAGGTGGTTTTAATGATATGGCTGATCTCTGTACATTACACAATAGCATTTTGTCTGCAAGTACAAGAAAAAAAACATCATTAAGTGTTGTGCTGTAAGCCCAGATCCACTCTGTTTAAGCATCGATATGGATGCCCTGTCATGCCCATCATTCCTCAAGCTCGGGCTGCCACGCAAATCTTTATGTCCTGTTTTATGTGTAATTTGTAATGATGGGTGGCTTTTATAATTTACAGCCATGGTTTGTGAGGACAGTCCTGTCTGCATGTGAGAAATGTCCGCACTTTATCACAGCTCGCCTCACAGGCCTCTTTCTCCCTCGCTGATTTGTGTTCATTATACAGCCACAAATGCAGAAAGGCCTTCAGTGGGGCCTGCAATAACAGAGAGAGTGGAGCTCTGCAACAGCTCAGCTAAGAACAGGGGGTTTTGGTGCATGGTGAAGCTGAGTTTCGGTTATATAAGCAGCCAAATGTGTCCCTGAAGAACGGGCCCCCTTTACAGAAACTTAGCATAAGCCGCAGCCTCTCTGACAGCCTGTCTGAACTTTGACAAACTCACACAGGCTCTGTCAGAGCTGGCCTAATGAACGCTATCTTCTCAGCCAAGCAGAAGTTTCAAGTTTGGATGTGGAGATGGCAGCCGTTACGCTATTTACAGCTCATTATTTCACCTGGGCTGTGCAGCAATTTGGGTAGTCTTGTGATTATTAGGTTCACCTAAGCACTGTTCAAGCTGGATTGATTTTACCAAAGAGATTTGATTATTTAATTTGTCTGTGATAAAGTATTTGTGGTGTTTCCTTCAATTATGTATTGAAACGTGCAACTCTTAATAACAATGACAACACAGAACAACTCAGGTTTTGTTAATACGTTACTTTGTGGTTGATTTCAACAGGGACTGCTATTACAGTATGTTACAGAAGATCATTCAGTCTGGAATTATTACTTATCAGGCTTGTAAAAACTACAGACATTACCGATTCGCAGATCACAGGTCTTGTCTAGCCTTGAATTCCAGGCAGTGTAATATTGCTTGGATTCATTTAGCTACTGCTGTGGAATTGGCCCTCCTTCCCAAAGAGCGTGTTCTCAAAAAAAGGAGGGACTGCAAACAGGAGTCATGCTTTGGATTAATAAATCAATTTAATCCAGCATACTTTTGAAAGGACTAGTGATTTGTTCTCTTAATATCCTCTTACTCCTGAGAAGCTTAGAAAGCTAACAAAATATACATCTTAGCCAAAGCTAACAGCGCACTTTCTGAGCGTTCACAGAGGTGAGACTTTCTGCTGACAAATGGTGGAAGTTATTGCACTCAGTTTGAATAGGTCTTCAGACTCAGCTTACATAAAAAACAAATGAACGTCAGGGTGACAATGTGTCCCTAATGTCCTCTTTCTTCTCTCCTCTGTTCTACCCTTGCAGTTGCGATGTACCGAGAGCCATCGTTGCACGACGTTGGGGAGACGGTGCCCAAGGCCGCCGTGCCTCCGAGTAAAAGCACAAGCGAGCCAGCCGTGATGAATGGAGGCAAACCGGTCAGCAAGCCCGCTAGCAAGCCCAGCACATAGCCCAGCCGCGGAGCGACCACGTCAGACCCCCCTGCCCCCAGAGAGAGAGCCAGACTCTCCCTGTCCCGTCTGTGGATCCGGTCCAGACGAGCCCCTCTCCTTTTCCTCTCCTCCTCTCCTCCTCTCCTCTGACTCTCTCCCTTCACTTGGCAGATCGATCGCGGAAGCTGTGGCCAAGAGTAGCGCTGAGGAGGATCCGACTGGACGAAGCAGCTCAACCCGCACCATGGAATGCCCTATCTGATACGGAATGCCTTTCTCCCTCCTGCCCCAAACACAATAACACCCATCCTCCTTTCCTGTGACTGTGACAATCCGTGAAAAGTGAAAAGCTGGAAGAGCAGCCGCAGGTGCACCGTTTGATGACGTCTCTTTTTTTTCCTTTGAGCCCTATAACGGCGATGTCTATTTCAGATCTATTTTCTATACACAGTGAACACCAGCTATGCTCTGGAGAAATCATTCGCTACAGACTGACTTGAGAAACTGCAAGAAAAACAGGACTGTCGTCCTCTAATTTTCTTTTTTATAGAGTCTGTTCCTGTGTCTCCTGCTCTGTCTTGCTTTCTTTCTCTCTTGCTTTCTCTCTCTCTCTCTCTCTCTCTCCTTCTCTTCTGTCGAGTACTACAGGGGCTATGTGTGATTTTTTTTCTACTACTTTCACATACATTTCTTGTGCACACATCAAAGCAGTCCCGCCTGTGCACACCCACCCACTCGCACACATATGTTACACGTGTAGGACTGAGATGCCAGTGGTGGCTTGTTTTTGCAGGGAATCATTCAGGAGGACTGGTGGGCCAACGCTGTCACCACAGGGACTGTGGAAAGCAGAAGTGGCCACTGTCTCAGGCTCGGAGCTGGCGTTTTTCTCTCTCTCTTTCTTATTTTAGTGTCTAGAAAGAGACGCGCCAGAGGCTGGCCAAGCACTTAGGCGATTTTTACCAGCGTTTTGCTGCGCCCTCCTGCCGTCAGTGCACGGAGGCGTCTGACGAGCGACGTATACATATCGATATTGAATTTCCACCAGGGCGGCGAGCCAGCCCCACCTCCGAAATAAGAGAGGAATCTGAATTCTATTTTTCTTTACTCTTTAGTTTAGAGCGCAGGCTCTAGGAACATCTATAGGCCTTGTAGGCCTCAGGTCCCTCATGCGGCATCTCCTCCGAACTGCGGGGCTATTTCCAGTGACCCGCCGAACGATGAGATAAGTCTACTTGGAGGCAGTGCGTTAAAATGGCTGAATTTAAGTAGGCGCCATTACTATTGGCTGCATCCCCTTTTCGTTCGGCAAAAGCATGGGCAAGGTTAGTATTGTGTTCTGTTCTTGCAGTGCGATGCAAAGCAAGAGATGGCTTATATATGACAAATGTTTTCACTGTATAAAAAAATGAAAAAAGCTTTAAAAAATAGATTTTTAATGACGAGATATTACAATTAAATAAGGAGACTTTTCTTCCTAGCTCAGCATGCAGAGTCCAGTACTGCTCATATTGGCCTATCGTGTGCCTGTGATGACCTCTAACCCAGCATGCAAAAACATGTACCCAGTCTGTGCTGGGTTAAAGGTGCCTCATGCCCCCAGAGAAAAACACAAACACATACACACACACACACACACACACACACACACACACACACATACACACACGTACACAGTAGCTTACACAGTTCATACACGCTTTTCTCAGTTCACATTCTTGTCCACTGAGGTTGATCCTGAATTTTACCAAAGTTTCTCTATACATCCAAGATTCCAGACCCACCAATTATAGTTAAATGCAATGGGCAGCACTAAAAAGCTCGTCCACTCTGTCCAGTTTCTTTTTTTTGCTCACTGTGACTAATAACATTCATAACATTCATCCTCATAACAGAACTGATCCTCTTTGCCTTTTTTATTAAATCTTGGATGGGCGTGACATTAGAATATACTGTTCTTTTAACAAACAAACAAACAAAAAAAAAAGACTAAAGGTACCTATAAATTAATCACCTGCATGCTTTTCATTAAAGACCAAAGTATGAGAAAGGTAGAATGGATTATTAGTCTGTTTAGGCCAGCATTGAATGGGCATGACACTGTAAGGTTCTCTTATACTTTCTCTGCATTGGAATCATAGCACTTTCGGTTCTGAGTCATCATCTACTCGTGACTTTTAGCGAATTATCAAGGATTATCCGAATCTATCATCGGATTTGATACAAAGCCTGTCTTGCTTTACCAATTTTCATAGTTTTAATGAATAAGATTTAGAATGTTATGTAGACTGAAGCTGGGCTGCTAAATTGCAAATATATTCAAGGCTTCATTTGAAGGCCTGTATTTTCTGGAATTTATTGGGATTATGAGCTAGTTTCTTATTAGGACGTGTTAAAGCACATTAGTTAGTCTTACATATTTGCATATTTGTCTGTATAACGCTACTTTAATGCTAGAATGACATGCAGTACTATACACAAAAGGAGCTTAAACCATTTGAATCCAGTTTAGGGCTGGTGTCCCACTTCTACATACTACACTGATCATTCTCTCCAATGAACTCTACATGCTGGGCTAACTTGCCCTGCAAACCAGTTGACTGGTTATATGAAGGTTGAATTTATTTTTGTAAATGACTGGTGAGTAAATGTACATCTGTTCGTCTGTCCGTCTGTCTGTCTTTTTTTTCCCTTTTGCAAATGGTTCTAAGTTTGTTCTGTTCCATGCAGGTCGTGTGTGATATAGTCTATTTGTCAACAGGAGCTATCACTGAACAATCTGTTGTTTCTTTTTCATTGTAATAATTTTTCATTGCAGAGTCCTTGTCATCTTTGTTTTTGGTTTTAAATTTGACCATCGTTTCATCTGTTGCATGGGAAGAGGATGGCATTTAAGAACTGCATGTTGTAGGCTATGTGTATCAAGAAATGTTGGTATGTACTGCTAATTTTACATACATATATGCAAAGAGTTTGTCTGCACTGTACAGTTTGTGTTTGTTGTATACACAGATACAACATATTGAATAAAATATTTATATAAAGGTGTACTGTAATGTCAGTAAGAAACTCAATGCAATACTAAGTGCAGTATATTACTGCACCCAGTCTTTTGACGATTTGAACTAAGAAAACTGTTGGCTACTACTGAACAGCATGGGTTGGCCAGAGTAGAACCTTCTGACCTTTCTCTTCAATTGTAATCTCAAAGACATGAACATCCAAGCGAAGACATTTAGACATAGACATTTCTCCTGCGCTGTAAATCACTGTTAATTTCTACATAATTCAATTGTTGAGATGTACTCAGAGTCGTTCAGAGCAGAGTTTTATGCGACAGGCTCCATTCTAGAGAAAAATAGTGACTCCGAGAGTTTACCACACAACTATAGCCATTTTATTTACTGTTCAAAATGTCTAATGTACCTGGATGTGTAGTCTGCGTTTTTAAATATGTTATTTTAATAACGATAAAACAGTGGTAAATCATAAAAATGTTTTCTTTGGGTGTTATTTTGCCATACAACGCCCTGCATGTGTCTGTCCATCATGAATGGATTAAAAAGTAAATAAATGAACGTTGTAGGCTGAATTTGTACCTTTCTCTAGAATGGAGCAGATACAGTGGCAAGAAAAAGTGTGAACCCTCTAGAATGACCTAGTTTTCTGCATTAATTGGTCATAAAATGTGATCTTCATCTGACCAATATAGACAAGCACAATGTGCTAAAGCTAATAACACACAAACAAGTATAATCTGTCATGTCTTTATTGTGCACACCAATTAAACATTCACAGTGCTGCTGGAAGAAATAAGTAAAGTAGTAACTAGTCGATCCTCCTTTGGCAGCAGTAACCTCAAGCAAGTGCTTCTGGTAGCTGTGGAGCTACTAGAAGACCTGCACAAGGTTCAGGAGGAATGTTAGACCATTCTTCCTTACAGAACCGGTTCAGCTCAGCCGTGTTCTTCGGATGCGAGGTCATTTCACAGCATCTCTATTGAGATAAGGTCTGGGCTCTGACTGGGCTACTCCAAAAGACTGAAGCCATTCTACTGTAGATTTAGTTCTGTTTAGGATCATTGTCCTGCTGCACTACCCAGCTTCGACTGAGCTTCAGCTGGTGGACACCCACCCTTACATGATCCTGTAGGATACCTTGATAAATTTAGAAGTTTATTTTTCCCTTGATGATGGCGATCAGTCCAGGCCCAGAAGCAGCTCCTTCCACCATACTACACTACTGTGATGATGTTTTCAGAGCAGTGACTTCTTCTGCGCTGAACATGCATATTCAGTGTTTTTGTATGGTAGACTCATGAACAGAGATGTCAACCAGGCCCAATGATTCTGTCAAGTCTTTAGATATTACTCTAGCATTCTTTTATACTTCCTTAAACAGTCTGTGTTGTGCCTTTGAAGTAATCATCCACTTCTAGGTAGATTAGACACAGTACTACTGAATTGTCTCCATTTATAGACAGTTTGTCCAGCTATAGACTGATGAATACCTGAACTCGTTGAGAACCCTTTCCAGCTTTATATACATCAACAATTATAGACTGTAGGTCTTCTGAGCAAACTCAAAATATTTGAGTGTTTTTTTTTTCTTTTTCAAAGTAGCTCTAACCCTCACCTTCAATCTCATTTCATTGACTGGACTACAGGTTTGCTAACTTCTGACTCCATTTAGCTTTTGTTGGGGTGTTTAGCGCAGGTGTTGGCATTTTTTCCAAACTGCACTTTGAACGTTTGAATGATTAAATAAATAAGGATAAGAACAACACATTATTTAGACACTTAGATGAAGAACAGACTATACTTTAAGATGTCTTAATAAGTGCATGTAATTCCAAAGGGTTCACATACGTTTTCTTGCCAGTGTGTTTAGAATGATTAGAATGTTTATATTTTAACGGTTCAAGTATGCAGATGTGTTGAAAAATCAGTGGAATTCCCCTTTAAAGAAAACCTGGATATGGATATATCAAACAGATTCATGGTGATGTATGTCAAGTGGTTTATTGTAAAGCATTATACATTTGCAAAAAAATGTCTCCCATCTTATTTTCATAGAATTATTTTAGAAAAGTTACATATTATAGTGACTGGTTTTCCATGATTTCAAGTCACAACCAACATTTCAACTCTATGAAAAGGGAATAAAAGCTTGTGGTACCACTCACCTGAGTGCAGGCTTTAACTTTGGTTTCTAGACACTAAATCATTAAATATTCACGACTAAACAGTTTGTCAGAAATAACAGGGTCAAATGTTATTGCACTCAGACAATAATCTGACCAATTATAACGTCAATAGTAAAACATTCTCCTTTGTCTATTATTGTTTGGATCCTGCCCATGTATGTGCATCTTCTTGTGTGTCGCTCTGCAAACTATGTAAGCATTCCTATAAACACTTTTCGTACATATAGCTGTATTAGAAACATATAAAGGATTACAAGATATTGTGTCTACAAACCAACATGTCTCTTGCTCCCACAACTGTTTTACTTGCATACGAAAAGGAAAAAAACAACATTGTTTTAATAAAGAGAATTTGTAACCGGTACAATGAATTCTGTTATATAAGTGAAGCGGAGAAATATATCCCAGGGTCAGAGTGCTTCTCTTCTGTCCTAACATTCACAGGCCCACGGATGGTCGTGTTGCAGCAGCCCTTTTCTGTCTTCATAAAAACAGTCTTTAGAAAGTGTCTGCCCGTGCTAGTATTCCTCTCCCACCCAGATTTCACAGGCATTTCCCGTCCAGCCGTCCCAGCACTCGCAGGTTCCACAGTTGCACATGCCGTTCCCTGGAACGAGAAGTGAGAAGAGACGCAGGGAATGGGGGGAGCCAGACTGTCACTCTGGCCTTCTACAAGCTTTCTCTCCTCTAAACTAGCTTCTGCTCAGCAGAGCCTTACCAACTGAAATAAAGGCCGTTCTGTTACTGCTCGACTTCACCGCTTTCCCAAAAGGTAGAGAGAACTCAAGACATGGGAGATCAAAGGAGTTTTGAGACACAAAATACAGTAGGTCAGTAGAGTCTGTCTGAAGCCTTATTTGTACTGTGTAGGCTACAAAGGTGATGGTTGAACTGCATGTTTAGGGTTATATTTTATAAACTGTTGGATGTTTGAAGCAAGAATAAAAGTCAAAACACTAAGGAGGTAACGGGGCGAAACTCCTCCTCAACTAACTGAACTTATGACTTTCTTGGTTACACCAGCAGTAAGATGCGATTTCTGGCTGTTTTAGAGGTCCATATGCATTTTGCCCTGTGCATTTTTTCTTCAAAAACATTGATAGAATATATTTTGATGGAAACGTGTATGATTTACAAAACCAACAGCAATCTGGATTTTTGGCTTTGTAGGTGAACAACCAAGTCAATGCTTTTTTATTCTGTTTAAAAGCTGTTTTAGTGGAGCAATTGGACAGGGTTATTTGGACACTGCCGTCGAACGGCCTTCTTACCCCTCCCCTTTTCACGCCACCCTTTCACCCCTGCAGAAAGAGGTTACATTTTTCTCAAAATAGATACAGAGAGGCCGATTTACTAATGTTTAACACCACTGCAAACCTTGTTTTGGTGATAAAAAGTGGCTGTTGTGATTCAGGAAAAGGCACTTTAGTTTCTGTAATATTATGAAAGGGGCTTTTGCCTCATTAAATCACATTTAAACGAGTTCAAAGCATAAAATACTGGAAGGCAATTATTATAATAAAGAACTTATTCTGATTCACTACAACTGACTGTAAATACTGACCATGATTTATTATATTACCTGTGAAAAGCTTGTCTTTTTTTCCCCACTAAGGTTCCTGCCATCATTGTTGCTGATATACATAGAAAAGAGAAAGTGCGTCACACGTTTATTTATTGTCAGCTACGAAATACAAAACATTTTCTTAACACCTTTCCTGTTATATCATTATTAATTTGATGAAGGCAAAAACTGAACCAGTTGGTTTTCGGAAAACCAATTTTGAACTAGATTGATCTAGTTGAACTAGTATTTGCTGAAATTCTGAGTATATTTTACACTCATCAAAGGTTTTCTTTCCTGAAGTATTGTGAAACTCTTTTGGCTCTGCGATCTCTGCAGTACTAAGGCTACACGTTTGTTCGTTCTGTGGCTTCTGTTGCAGAAACATCACAGTCATGGTTTGATGCACTGCACAAAGCTAAGAGGATGAGCTCTTCACAAATTCAAATCATACACTTCCCAATCGAGCAGGAAGCTCTCAGTGAGATTAAAAGGGATTTTACAATATCACACTCATTTTAAATACACTCGGCATAAAACTCAAGCTCAGCTCAAACCACCAAGCGAATGGAAAGTCGAAATAATTACTTATTAATTAATTACTTAATTATTTGTCTCAATTTGTTTTTACTGTCAAAATAATATTTTATTTTCTTAAAATAGTGATGTGTTATGTCAAAATCATCGTACACTTTCTTAAAGAGTCTTTAGTTTTTAGTCATTACTTTGACCTACTAAATCAAAAACTCAAGAAAACAAGTCATTATTTCAGCGTAATGAGTTACAATCTGATCCAGAATAAAACATGTTTTGGCTGTGGTTATATTGCGCTGCTCATATGTTAATTATGAAGTTGCTCTTGTGTTCATTTGTAAGGAAGTTCTTACTAGATAAGCCGCTAACTTAGTCACTCCCACCAGCACAAAGTGTTGGTGGACTGTCAGTAATTAGCACCTCTTTTAGTAAATCTGGCCTTTGATAGATGTCAAACTAAACAATCTAAAAACAATAACAGGTTCCTCACATAGTAATGAGCATTCAGGATACAGCATTTTCTCAGCATGGCTCCCTCCTGGAAGGGTCTGCCACTCCTAGCTGGCTCCCTGCAGATAATCGCGATGCCACTCCTCACCTGCACTGCTACAAGCTGTTGCACTGTTCAATCTGCCTCCATCCCACTGTTCAAATGACCTGTGTCTGCTGATAGGTGCTTAAAAGTGTTCGGTCACTCGTGACCCGTGCTGAGATGCGTCAGATCTAACTACACATGAATATTCCCTATGATTCCAGGTTACTGCTATGTTAGGATAGCAGTAAACACGAAGTGATGAAATGCACACTCACTGATTTCTAAGGTTGGTTCTCTTGTAAGCATACAAAACAGCGGTGCACCAAGAGCTTGTTAGTGAAATTAGAACTGTTTCTGACTCCCTGGAGTAACAACCGTTTGTATATACAGCAAAGAGTTGGTAATGGTGTTTTACCTTGGTGAAGACGTTTGGAGCCCTGTGCCGTATCACCACTCAAACAGTTGGAATTATAATCTGTGGCCCATGAAATCGAGCACCAGGCATTCCTAATACATTGCATTTTCCACATCACTCATCAATTTACATGTAATGAGAATCTGTTGCTGAAAAAGCCATGAAACTCACAAATGCAAAATTAGTATTCGTAACCTGGCAGACACATTTTCGCATCATTATACTTATAAAGGTCGAGCTGTTGCCCTAGGAGGAGCAAACCACTGCCAGCTTGTATGTATTTGCATTTTTTTGTCTACTTGAAAAGACAGTATTCCCTGTGCAACATAAGAAAATGATTTTAATAATCCTTATGCATATGGTAATTATGACATATGCCCTAATCACTAATATGCTAATGACTGACATTTAACCAATATTTATAAATTCCCTTTGTCAACTATGTTTTCCCCTTGTTTTTAATGAATCTTTTGTTTATGTGGGAGGACTAGGATAATTGGTTGAATGACACTGCAGCTGATACCAAAGGCAGAAAGACTTTGTTAAAACCAGTAAGTAAACAATTTTAAAACAGATGTCCAAACATCTTCAGGGCTTTGAACCCTTGGTGCATTTACTCATATAAGCTTACGTGGGCTGAAGTCCAGGGGTCCCTTACCTCAAGGGGACCCCTGCAGGCACAAACTCAAAAAATCAAACAATCAAAAAACACTATATTTATTTGCTTGAAACCATGTTTACCCTCCATGTTTCTTTTGGTTATCTGTTGTAGTGGTTTTCAACCTTTTTTGAGCCACAACTTTCTCCCTACTGACCGTAAATGTACCAAATGAAACCTACATTGTAGGGCTCAAACTATGTGGACACTTGACCATCACACTTATATGAGCTTGTTGGACTTGCCATTCCAAATCCAGTGGCATTAATGTGGAGTTGGCTCACCCTTTAATGCTATAACAGCCTCCACTCTTCTGGGAAGGCTTTCCACAAGATTTTGGAGTGTGGCTGTGGAAAATTTGTGCCCATTCAGTCAAAAGAGCATTTGTAAGGTCAGGCACTGATGATGAGAGAAGGCTTGGAACGCAATCAACATTTCAGTTCATCCTAAAGGTGTTTAGTGGGGTTGAGGTCAGGGCTCTATGCAGGCCACTGGGGTTCTTACGCTCTAAACTAGTCAAACCATGTCTTTATAGACCTCGCTTTGTGCCCCTGGACAGGGCCTTCCCCAAAGTTACCCTAGCCCAAACCCTGAAAAACAGACCCAGCCCATTATCCCTCCTAAAGCAAACTTTATTGTCGGCACTGTGCATTCCTGTAGGTAGAGTTCTCCTGGCATTCACCAAACCCAGAATCACCCATCAGACTGCCAGATAGTGGAGCATGATTCATCACTTCAGAGAACATGTTTTCACTGCTCCAGAGTCCAGTGGTGGTGCACTTTACACCCTTCCTGCTGACGCTTGCCGTGGGAACTCATTTCATGAAGTTCCTGACGCACAGTTCTTGTGCTCATGTTGCTTTCAGGATAGTGTGGAACTCTGTAGCGAGTGCTGCAACAGAGGATAGGCGATTTTTATGCACTATGTGCTTCAGCACTCAGCAGCCCTGCTCTGTGATTTCCTGTCACTGAGCTCTGCAGTATGATCCATTCTACTGTTGATCCATTCTACAGTGTTTGTCTATGGAGACTGCATGGATATTTGCTTGGTTTTATACACCTATTAGCAATAGGTGCGGCTGAAACACCTGAATGCAATAGTTCGGAGGGGTGTCCACATACTGCCATATAGTGTATTTTGGCTGTTCTCTATTTTAGCAGACTGTCTGACAAGCCAACATTCCACAATTGTTCATGCAGCCAATTTGAGTTTACAACAAAAATGTGAATATTATAGTGATGATGGAAAAGAATGAAGAGGATGAAGCTGTAGTGAACCCAAATGACGTTCTTTATTTGGGAAAAATGCACATACTACTGCTCAAGTAGTTCTATTCTTGTAGGTGATACATATATCTATCACGTCTAGTTAATGCCTAGAACCATAGTAATTATAAATATGTATTGGTTTATCATGTTTTCTATTACCATTGATTAGACATTTCCCCAGGGGGCTGGGGGGAGTCTACACTCTCTTTGGAGTTTTTACCTGTTGAACCCCAGCCAAGGATATTTGAGGAAAAGAATGAAGCAGTGAGGCTTCACTGATTGGACAGCTGAGTATAAGCCTGGCGCTGAGCTATCTAATCCACCAATCAAATTGAAGTCACATCAAAGCAAGTCAGGACCTTCAGACAGAGCAGGCAGCAGTCGAGCTGGGAGAACTGAGTGTGAGTTTGTGTGTGTGTGTGTGTGTTTGTGTTCCAGATTAAGAGGGCTTGTGGAGGTGTTAAATGGTGTACATGAACCCTACCTGTACAGATCAAGCCATCATGCTGGTCACACTCCCTGTCGTCACATTCGCAGAAATCACCAGAAATGTACCACTCCTGTGGTGAACAGATGCACCTCCCGCAGTGACAAGAGCCTGAAAGCATATAAATGGGCTCTGAGACTCCACACAATCACCGGCCCATTACAGCTCCTTCATCTTTTATTTCAGAGGCTAGTGCAATGCTTTTCAGTATTTCATATCACAGCACTGATATGACACGGCAAATATTTATGCATGTAGTGGCACTATATGTAACTATACATCAATCACGATATTTCTAACCAAAATAACTCCTGTGAGTAATCAACAGAAAATATACCAGAAAAATACCGGGAATATACCAGAAAAATGTTTTGTGGGAACAAAAAAAACACCCTTTTCCATAAGGGTTACCACCAAAATAAGTGCTGCTGTATAGGATGAGGGAAGTCCACTGTAGAATAAGGAAATGGTTGTAGAGTAATGAAAATGTTTGATGCTGTCAAAAGCTGATGCAAGATTCTCACAGGGTCGACGTTCCACATGTAGAACTGTAAATGTTAAAAGTTGATGCTAAAAAATGTTGACACCGTAAAAATGTTTATTCCACAGTATTGTAGTTATGTCTCTGTGTTTAGCCTAGCAACCTGTGGATAGCTGCACCCACTCAACGTAAGTTCAATCACAGCCTAGTTTGAGTGTAAACTGCCACTATGAGTTTACATGCTAAAATTTAAACAGTTGCAAGGAGATTCATGAGATGCCACAATATTTTCATTGCAGCCTTAAATTATAACGTACACTCACCAAGCATTTTCACTCACTGTCCATTTTATCAGCTAAATCTAGTCCACTCTAGCCCATCTGTTTCTCTTCAAACACTTGCCACCTCTAGTCACATCACTGACTAATTTATGGCCCTGCAGTGAAATTCCTGGATTTGAATGGTAAATATGCTACTCGCTGAATTGTGTAGATTGAAAGTTTCAGAAGTGCTGCTGAATAACATAAACTTAGCTAAAGTTATTGGAGATCATTGCTTTAATGGTGCTGCTAAATGAAACCTTTTCTGTGCAATTAAAGTTTCATGTTGATTTCTGTGGACTGTACTCCCTATGAGAGCGAAGTGATCATCTGCAAATTACACTACAAGTGGCGATCATAGGGGTCCAAGCACATTGTGCCTTATGGCACCACTATTGGCCTTTCAGCAGATAGAACACAACTAACAGTGAGTTTTTAGAATGGCCTCTGTTCATAATATCTGTTAAGGAGAGATCTTCAAAGAAGGTGTTTGCCAAATTTTATACACACTGACATTGGTATGGTAAGCAAAAGGTTATTTTAAACAAATATTTCAAAATACCTAGAAAGCGGTACAGTTTTTGACATAAGTTCAATCGCCATAGTTGATGAACTCAATGAGCTGAATCCTTCTAGAATCTTTCAAGGGTACCCAATCCTGGTCCTGGATATCTGACAGCCTGCCTTCAGAGGCATCTGAAAATTAGACACAGGGGTTTTGGATGTGAACTCTTCAGGGTGGTGGATCTCCAGGACCAGAACTGGTCCTCCCTGTTCTACAGCAATTACCATTTTCGTTTAAAATAGCTAAATGTAAAAATTCAAAGCTAAATGTTCCAAGCCTCTGGACCCTGTACAAGGGGTTGGTTTCTGAACTTGTCCTATTTTTCACTGCTTATGAGTTTGCATGTCTATATTTGGTAGTTGTGAAATTATTAGCCTCATGATGAACTTTTACCATGCTGCTGAATGTAAAACACACTGAATAATATACGTGTATAATGTATATGATATATACAAATATATTATATACTTATTGTCAGTAATTATGGAGCTTTTAGAATTTGAAAACATTTATTTGACCCCTGAACAGGAACTGTGGCCCCACCTAAAAAAATCCTAAAATAAACAGTGATTTGGTTTCAACTTATCAGTAACATGAAGAAGTCAATAAATGGTGAAGTAATAAACTGTAATTGGGTCATTCTATATTGGGGTGCCATTTGTGTCCCACTGACATTCCAGTAACAAATATGTATTCAAAGTAAAAGCTTAAAGATATTTTAAACATATGTAAAGTGTCCTTCACAACAATGTAAGAGCAGGTTTAAGATAAATAAAGTCATAAGAACTCTCTACAGCACACAGAAAACAGTCAGCCTACCAACTTAAAATATAATCATTAACATATGTCACAAAATGTTCTTACTATTGCATGAATGTGCGAATGTCTCATGATTGAAAGACACTTTTTCATGAATCATTCATTATTAGTTAAGTGACCCCTAACAATCACTTAACGCTGTTTACCCATTCACCCCTATAAAACATATGGAACATTCCCCAAGCCACATGTTCAACTGGAAGGTGTTCATCAGAATTCCCTGAAGATCATGGGGAGAGGAAAAGTATGTTTTCTCAGTCTTTTTTCATTATTCATATGATAGTGTGATATTGACTGACAAGGTCACGATTACACTGTCCTTAATGCTCTCATGTCATTAACATGTATGCTAGTTAACAACAGTTTATGTATTTGCTAATTCCATGCTAAAAACTTGTTTCCATGCTAAAAACTTTGTTTCCTTGTTGCTTTCAACCCTGTTTCTCATTTAACTCCTTAAAATCTCAGGTTTATAACATACTAAGGCTTATTATTCAGTAACTATAGGGACTCCGATGCAAACTGGCTGAGCTACTCTTAGGGTAGAGATAATAATAATAAAATTTGGGCCTGCTGGTGGGCACTGGCCATTTAAGGGGTTAACCTATTATCATGAAACCTTGAGATACTGAGATACTTGAGTTACTGATTCAATGTTGAAAAGAAGAATTAAAAAATATATTTTTAAGATTTGCAAAGGCTAAATTGCACCACATCATGGAATCAGCTAACCATACATTTATAGACATTTCTTGCTAAGTTTCTTGCCTCAAGATTTGATCACCACATTCATTTTATTATAATCACATTCTCAATGTCATACAGCTTTCTCAGTCATTATGGAATCATGTACAACTCTGTTCATTGTTCACATCTAACATTTCTTCATTTTTTATAGCTTCCTACTAATTAGTTGAAACCTATAAAGTTGTAGAGTAGTAGCATTTTAATGGAATCAATTTATACATCTACCTACAACTAAACTGGTTTTATATTGTTGAAAACAGTGATTGCAGACCTTCGAATGATTACAAACTTTTGAATGGTAGTGATTGACATTTGCTATGTGCTTCAGATTGTTTTGATGAGTTGATAATGTTTAATATATTATGAAGTAAAGCTACACTATGTAAGTTTTTGGGATTTGGAGACCTTTGTGATGTAAACTGCATGCAGTGTGCTCCGGACCCCAACAAGCAGATGAATCTGATGATTGTAGGCGCGTTGAAAGAGTATTCAAAGAGAACTCAGCCAAAACTTGGTGAAGGACGTGTTTTCTGATGATGTACGAGAATTATCTACAGCGTGACTCATAACAGTGCACAGACACCACATTCTATCGTGTTTTATTTCTTCCTGACTCAGTAATGCTACTTATTTCAATTTTAACAAAAAATGTACATAGTTCACAGCAAATCAGAACAAAACAGCCCTAGCTAATTAACTATGTTTGATTTATAAGACTTCCTTTTAGCATATAGTATGAGTAGCATGGGTTCAGTAGCTTCATTATTGCAAACCTAAATGTCAAGTTATGTAATACTGTGATATTTTTGGTAATACTGATATTGAATTTTACAGATACAGTTCAGTACCATTTTGGGCATGAACTGTTCACAGCAGCTCTTATGTTAGCAAATAAGGCATTACAGGGCTGCTTATCAAATATGACTTCCATAGCCACTTGAGCTACACTTTAAAGTCTGTTTTTTCCACACTGTCAGGTTACAGACTGATAATAAAAGCATGTGCTCTCCTGACTCGGCCTCATGGAATCCTGACATGAAGCGTCCTTTAGCTGTTCAAGGGCAAGCGGTCTATGTTGGAGAGGATAATAAGGTGTTAAGGTTCTGAGGCAGGGTGGGAGCAAACGCATTTCCCTGTGTCTTCTTGCTTTTCAAAGCCCAAAGAAGAAAGCCGCAGCTCCCCCGTCTCTGCTATTTATACCTCTACAGGCTTTGAAAAGACGGCAAGATGCTCGTGTTTGCGATCCTCCTCATGAATGTGTTTGTGAGTATGTGAGAGAAAAAGAGGCTGATCTTTTTTTCCCATCTGTGTTGGAGGGAGATAAACGTGCTCGTCTCCATTTGGATGCCACTGGTAGAGCACTAATTCTGCTGACACAATGTTCTCTGTCTGGACGCTGGATTTCCTTATTTTGCAGTTTTGTGTTTTTAGGCCGTTCACTTTCAATTAGGCCTTTCTTAAAATACTTGAATAATAAATGCAACTAATGTCAAGGTATATTGTGGTAGCACCCACCATGCTGAGTTGGCTGATGTGCTCTGTGGTAGCTCTTTTCAATCATTTCCAGATGGTTAAAGAGAAATGAAAGTTCATACTATAAGCCATACATGAAGTGCAGTTTGAGTAAGAACACTGATTAATTTAACATGTTCATGCCATTGCTAAATAAGACATGACAATTACTGTGAACATCTACATTATTATATGCTATTTTACATTTTAGCAGACTTCCAGTGGTCACACAGTGGGATAGTGGCAGACAAATGTAATATTAGTCTTTCCCAAGGAATCTTATTGGTATAGCACTGGTGTACCTGCTAGGGAATATAATCTTTCTTGTCGGTTGTTGGTGTTATCCATTACGCTAAATATCAATGGTGCCCAATCGTGATCCTGGAGGTCTACCAACCTGGAAAGTTCTGATCCACCACACCTGGCTCTAATGTTCAGATGCCCCTGGAGGCCTTCATTATCTGGGTCAAAGGTGTTTGATTAGGGTTGGAGCTAAACTCTGCAGGATCAGGATTGGGCACCCCTGCTATTTATTTTATTGAGCTGAAATGAACGCTGATAAAATTATTATCAAAACTTTCCTATTTATCAGTGAGCAATGTATTGTGCTTTACTGTATGTGCTGTATGTATCTTTTTAGACTACAGTGCTGTTGAGCATCTCTTTGGATGCTTTATTTCAGTGGTTCTCAAACTGGACCTCAGCCCCTCCCAGATGGTCCACATTTTTGTTCTATCCCTATGTACTGAGGGTTGGGTTGAGCAAAAATTTGGACTGGGGCCCTGAGAACAGTTTACAACTGTGCTTTAATGACTGCTTATAGGGCTGTAACTATTGATTATATTAATATAATCTGAGTAATCTATCAGTTAGAATGAGAAATAAAAATGTTTTTTTTTTAAAAAAAACAATGAAAATGCTTTCCAAAGATTCCAAAATATTTATCAAAAAATATAAACTAGAAAGTCTTTAAAAAGACTTGAAAAGACTAACAGAAATGTATGTATCTTATATGTGTCTGTCAGGGTGTAGAATCATATAAATATGCACTTATTTATATTAATCATAAAAATCATAATGCAAACTGCCCAGTAATCATTGGCAATTCATAAATACGGTGCATACTACTATGACTACTATGACCACCTTCAACCACAATGACAGCTAAAGTGAAGCATCATGCTACAGCCACAACTGACCTCTACAGTTAATGTCCTCCACCTTTACCGTCACAGATAAAGTGTGGCTCTAGAAAAGCGCTATTTTACCTTTTCCAGAGCACATGACGCCATGGGCTGTCTCACACAGGCTCTTGCTCTGTGCGTCAGTCATGTTGCAGCTGCGGGGGAACTGGCAGTGTTTCCCAAACCATCCATCACCACAGATACAGCGGCCACAGGAGCAAAAGCCATGGCCTGAGGAGGACAAGACAGACAGAGACACACATACTGTCACTAGCTCTGCACAAGAAAACAGCTTATTTCTTCTGACAAAACAAGGCAACAATTCAACTGATCCAGGCACATTTCATTGGTTCAAATACAGAGAAGGCAGATACCAAGATAGTGCCCAACCAATCTATTGGCTTATCAATTTTATCAGCCAATAATGAGGTACAGTTGTTTGAAAATAGGTAAAAATCCTATCCATATACCACATGGTAGTTTTACTCTTCTGATGCAGGAAATCTGATGGTTTCATTGATGTCTTTGTAGAGACACTACTGACAATCACGACCTTGGCACATCTGTTACAGAAACAATAAGGCCTGAACTCAATTTCAGCACAAAACACCATAATAGTCATAATAGCATACTCATGTCAAATGCATTCTGACAATTAGCCGGAGGATAGAATGTTATAACATAAACATACAGAATCCAGCAAAACTCCACCCCACACTACAATATTTATATTATTTATGATGTTTCTGCTGTTCTGAGTTTAAGGAATGTAGCAATTCACATCTGACACATCTGACAATTTACAATTGACACTTGACCATCATATCAGTCAGTAAAGTTGAACTAAAACTAACACATTATTTTAGATGGACATTAGAATGTACTGGTAAAAACCTTATTAAGACTTATGAACCAGAGCATTTTTGTATATTTTGCATCATAGCCTTTTGCATAGGTTATGATTTTGCATGTCATTTACTGATATGAAACTAAACTCTGCTTTACTAATCTGATGAGATTTAAATTAGGAAAGTAGATCTCCAGGAGGTCGGTTGGTGACCACTGATCTAAGAAGTTGGGTCACTGAAGAAAATGGTCTGTCAGTTCAACCTAAAAAAATAGTTTTATTCAACTCCAATAAATGCTTTGATTGAAACAATGACTTATCCAAAGTATTTAATTGAGTTAAATAAAACTAGTTAATTTAATGTTGGCACATTGTCATTTTATCTATGCTGAACTGATAAACCATTTTTTACAGTGCACTGACTAGAACTACGCTGCTTTCTAGACAACGTCTTTTTCAAGGACATTGCGCAAAACGTTCATATTCATGTTACAGCATCATGGCTTCATAAACAGAGAGCGCGGTTCTCGCGTTACAAAATGAATCGTTCATTATGAAATGCAAATATGACGACGAAGAACCCATATGGTTGCACAGACTTAGCAGAAGAATGGCAAAAAATTTTGCTTTCATAACTTGATCAATTAATAACGTCAGGCCCCAAATGATTAAGTTTTGTTTTTGTTAGAATACTGACCTAAGACATACTCCCACAACTTGTTTGTAATTCGATTAAACTATGTCAGAAGTTCCCATCATGTTATCCAAAATAATTATCTAATACTTTGGAGTTTGTACCTCACACTTACCTGGTTAATATCTAGAACTTAGGAGACTGTAAAACAAAGCATTATCAAATTTTGGCTGATGTTATTGAATATAGGAATTTTAGCCTCTCAATTGATATCAGTCACAACATTTTCATATTGGTCAGGCTCCATTCAAGGCTGGCTACTAGTGTCATGGTGCTAGGCTTTTACCCCAGCCAGGCAGCCTGAGCCATGGGCCATGCCTGAATCCACACAGAAACCTGGCTTGCACTAACATCCTCTGAGCTGCTGAACAATGTGAGGAACTCCCCATGCGTTTACTGCCACCAGAATGAAGCATGGCGAGGCGATTATATTATCTATTGATCGCTCCTCCTTTCAAGCTTGTTACCTGGATTTCTTTGAGAGGATAATCAAGTCAGTGCTGCACTGAGGTTTGTACCACTAAACACAAAAAGCCAATATGTGTTTGTCTTCTCAACTGCTTATTTAAGAAGTCGTTTGAACATTGAGATGCTTTCAGAAGGCATTTCCCCCATTACTGGCACATTAGATGTGACTCAAATCTCTGCTGCAAAGCCTGCATTAAGTGAGTGGCCAACTCTGTCTGTTTCAGACCTCAAAGGTGTTGATCTCAGCAGGCTGGGCTAAAGCTGGACAGTGGGAGTCCTGTTCAGGAGCAGTGCGAGTGTTGGCAGGGAGGAAATGAGACATTTTTGGAAGCTTCTGAGGGCTGGAGTTTCTCTGTTGTTCATGGAAGAGTCTCAGGGCCTCAGTGGAAAAAGAACAGTGAATAACGGAGCTCCTCCTGCAGCCAGTGCTGCTTCCTCTCTCATGTAATTTCACGGATTCCCCCAAGACTAGACTAGACAGAGACGTTATAGACGTAGGTATTGGCCTAGATATTAAAGTCCAACAAGGAAACACAGCAGCATCCTGTTCAAAATGAAAAGACAAGACAAACAGTGAGGATCGTGTTACTCTTGAAGCTGACTGTTTGGCATCTGCTATAGATGCCCGGAGGCCATGAAGCCAGATGTACAAAGACTTTTGCACAAGGATTCAGGAGCAAACAGGATGCATTCTGACCAAAAAAGCACACATTGTAAAAAAAAAAAAGAGAAGTCAGCTCAACTTAAAATTATAAGGTAACTGATTACACTTTTGATTGATTACGCTTTTCTTGAGTTAACTCAACTTGAGGACTCCAGAGTTCATTCAACTCAAATGTCTTAGGTTAGTCAAATGTTCTCCTAAATCTCAGTTCAAGTTTAGTAAACAAGGCAAAACATTTTACTTCACTAGCTGGAACTGTTTCTATCACTTAATCCCACCAGGCATTTTCTCCTTGGACTTCCAGATATGGAGAGCTGTGGGATCTCTGGGTTTCAAACTCACACTCTCCTGATGTTGGGGTGAATTCTTAGATCACTGCATCACATGTAACTACATTATTTTTTGAAGCTAAAACAACAAATATATATTTTTTTTCCACAGTGTATTAATCATTTAAGGACACAGAAATCTAAGCAGTTTCTGTAGCTTGTGAGTGGTACTATGGACTAACATTCACCGTTCCCTCAGCAGAAGGTTGTGAGTTTGAACCTCAGTGATGTTTGCATTTACTCTGCTGTCCTCAAATTAAGTTAACTCAAGAATTGCAGTATAATCACTTAATTTAAAATTTTAAGTTGAGCTGACTTTCATTTTTAACACTGTACATTAGGGGTGCACTGTGCTGGACACTAGCGTCCTGGAATGCGGTTGTCCAGCACAGTCGAAACTAACATGACTTAGGTCTAAACAAACATGGTGGATGACAGCAAGGCTATTGCTATGCTGGTGGTGTGTGCTTTCTGCACAGAAGAAGCCAAGTGGAAGAAAAAAACGTGGATGAAGCCAACACTGAAAATGAGGGGTCAGCAGGGCAACGCGAGCTTGAGGTGAACATATACGTACATACATATATGCATACACACATGAGATGAATACATGCTTACATGCACGTACACTCTCAGAAATAAAGGTACGAAACTGTCACTGGTGCAGTACCCCTCTTATCCATGGGGGGGTACCCTGAAGGGTACATCTCAGTACCTTTAGTCAGGGAATATAATTATACCATAATCCATTGAAATTATATTTTCTAAGTTGTATTGACTCCACACACCCCGTCTCGTCTCCAGGCTTTTTATTTTATTGTTCTCTTTTAAATCATTAGCTTATGAAAAAGTACAAATCTATACTTTTCCACTGGAAAAAAACTTATTTAGGGTACACGATTGGACCTTAAAGCCACTGTTGTACCTTTAAGGGTACATTTACATTGTTTGTACCTTGATAAAGAGAGAATGTACCTGCACAGAACCTTTATTTCTAACAGTGTATACATACACCCATAAGTTGAATACATACATAAGTCTGTCCATACACACTGACAAGTTCAGTTTAGCTCAGCTATCATTGGTTGATGGTCTTTTAGGCATGACGTCAACATTGTGTTTCACACCAGAGAATCAGCATCCACTCCACACAATAATCCTTGTAAATACCTAAGGTCTGAATACTTAATTATTTTTTAATAGTTTTTGTACTGTTGGAGCACAGTTTGAACTAATTTGCTAGAATGGTACATGCAACATAAAGTGGTATACATAATTGTACCACTGTACATTTTGGTAAACAGTTCAAATTATATATATTTCCCCATTTCTTCACAGGCGACTTGCCCTCCTTTTACTGCTTTATTTTAGAGGTACTGGTATGGAGGGCTGCAGTGTGCAGTTGGGGGAAGCTGCACACTTGGCTGCTTCAATCAGCCAGCCTATGAGAGCATTTAATTGCTTTCGAAGAGCAGCACCCCAACCCTTTCAATTAAATTGCACCTGTGATTCCCCATTACTGAGGCTGGCAATGCAATTTGCATGCGTGTGTGCGTTCACATTCTCAGAGCCTTTCATGTCAGTCTTTGGAGAAATGTTTTCAGAGAACCCACTATATAGCTGTGGGTGTGGCTAACTGCTGCCTTAGAATACTGGAAGAAACCGAAGTGAAATGTTGACACGATTGCTTTAGCACTGGAGGGTGAAAAGAATGCACACAAACAGCATGACATCTCACTGTGTTCAAAGATATAGAAAAACCCCACAATGGGCCCACAGCCTTTGAGCACGGCCCTCTTCTGAATGCTAAACCACTCCAACTGGATCAGCCGGGCAATTAGCTGACATTAACTTTTCATCAGTGAGCGAGGCTCGGCCGTGTCTGTAATATGTGTGAGCTGAGAGTGAAGGAACAGAGGGAGAGAGAATCAGAGTGTTCCCCAGCTCTCCTGTGTTAACATGTTCTAATCTGCTTCAGTGTAGCACAGCTGCAGCGGAGCTCCATACATATTTAAAGTCCATCTCTGAGGCTATACCAGACAGGCCAGTGGGTCGAGTATGCCCGTCGGGCCTCTGTGCCATTGCCACTTAGCAGCACAACAAAATGAGCCTCCGGAATGCATGCAGCATTAATATTGCATCCACCGCCAAAAAGAAGAAATATCTGCCTGCAGTGGACCATGCTGTGGTGGCCCCATAAAATATATCACAATGATGCAACCATTACTGCAT